CTTTGACCATTATCACTGTTACTTCGATTTTATCTATGACAACAACGTCTGTGACCTACCACAATAACCACTATGGTTTTGTCCAGAACAACGCGGGTGAAGTGGAACTTCTTAACTTGCAAATCCCCTGCACCAGGGATAGACCTTTTTGAAGGGAATAACTCGGAACAAGAACTGCACGCCGGGGTATTAGTCCCGGACTAATATCTCGGCGATGTGGACAAGTAGTTTCAGACAGAAGAATCAATAAGGCAACATGCGACAAATTGAATCCAACTTTGGACCGTACTCAACACCAACCCGATCGAGTTGAACGTTGAACGTTGACTAAGCTTGTCCGAAGAGTTGCCTTCGGGAACCCTTTTTCTTCCGTGGCACGCTCTGACCGGGGGTTCGATTCCGGGTAACGGCATTTTTCTGCTATTAAAGTCCTGTCGTTCAGCGCCCGCCTAAGAACGCGTGAGGTTGACAACCTCGGGTTGTATCTCGACGCGGACCACCATTTTCTCTCCGTCGCTACCCATTTTACTCGCGCTCGCCAGCAATTTTTCCTTCGTCCCACTTCTGGTTGCCTTGGGTGACAGTTTTCACTCTTACAATAGTTCAGGTTTCTGGTTACCTTGGGTGACAGCTTTCACTCCTATAACAGTTCGGGTTTCGGGTTGGGTTTCGGGTTTCCCCTTCTATGAATTACCCGCGTTCTTTGTTTTTCTTCTTTGTTTGTTATTTATTCTGTTTTGTTCTTTGTCTTCCTTGCATTTTGTATATCTCCCCATCGTGATAGCCTTCGTTCTGCTCGTCACATTGCATATTGACTACTTATATCAATATTGTATTGGATCCGTTTGATGTGACTATGAAATTATTCGGATTAGCAACGCAAGCACAAAGTTGTGGCCCGACGAGCAGAAATGATGGCAATTGCTAGGAATTTGTCCCCGCTGTATTATACTGAATTCAGCTGTATATTTTCAAACACGATAGCTCACATGAGTTCACTCCATGGCTCCTACTGTGAACATATAAGAGCTTCTGGTGGATGTGGTGGCGTTAATAGTTGAGTCTCCCAATTAGCGAATATCAAAGTGGGGTGGTTGTCCAATTACACCTATCCAAGTATCTTGAGGTCGACCACAAAAGATGCAAACTAGGTCGATAATGGAATATCCTGATGCGCATGCGTTCAGTTTGGATTGAGAGCCATAAAATGACCATGCAACGACCAACACGATCATCACGAAAGAACCGTTCACGTTACCCCATCATACTATCTCTATCGCTGATCGGCCTTTTCTTCTACTCGTCTCTATCCCTCTTTCAGTGGCTTCGGTCCACCCCTAAGGCCTTAGACCTTGCCAAATCTTCAAAGGGGACCTCTGAGGAGTTTGGTATCATCCCAGTTGGCCAGGCCGGTACGACCACGTATGAGCTCGAGTGTTGCACACGTTCATCGGGCGGCTCGTCTGAGTGTCAGCCTATATCCTTCTGGCACGATGTAATGCCTCAGTGTTTTCGCCATATATTATCGTGATAGGTTCCGTTGTATGTAAGTGAGAATGATGAAGGCCTTATTAGAATGGCGGTGGAGATTCCTCGATTCACTCGTGCTAAGATGGAGATCAGTCGTGAATCGTACAACTATCCTGCAGTGAACCCAATCAAACAGGATCTTTTCAAAGGTGACTTTCGTCGTCTGCAGTCGGCCGTTATGCTTGTACTTAGATGGATCCCTGCGCGAGTATCCCGGAGCTATATACTGGAACTATGGCGCGGCACCACAGACGTTCGAGGTCGGCAAGAAATTAATGAGTTGTTGTTTATACTTCTATGATAGAAAAGTGTGGAAAAATATGCACTTGGTCAATCACGTGATAATATGGAAGTTCTGAGAAAGTTTTGGAAAATTCTTGTTGGTTTCTGTACACTTCTACCCGCTTTCGTATGAATAATGAGAATTTCGAAGAATTTCCCGAAATGTCCTCAAAATTTTCGTATTGTCATCAGCACACGTATTGGAACATGTGCTTATTTTCCAACACGGTGTTAAAGTGTGTGATAGCATCGCTGAGGACAGTTGATTCATCTCAGGACCCGAATGTCGAGGAGGAAGTGGGTCTCTATGGCGATGGAGATCCTTTAGACTTGATAGAAGTGGGCCGACCAGCGACTCAGTATCATACAGGCCAAATAATCAGCGTTAAAGTAGTACCAGTATAGAATAGTACTAGTGCTGCTAGAATTTCGCATAGAGTAATACCAGTAGTACTAGAATTTCTGATAGAGTAGCAATAGTAGTACTAGAATTTCGAATAGAGTAGTATCAATTGTAGTACGATTTCTCTCTGGGGGCCGTTCAGATTCTGGGAGCCCTGGGCCTCGTCGATGGTGGAGAGGCTGACTGGAAAATCATCGTTATAGCGACCGACGATCCGTTGTTCGACCGGATTAACGCTATAAATGATGTAATGCTGGTCACCTGAGGTGACTGTTCGAGTAGTGTGGGGGAAAATATGCACATGGTCAACTACGTGTGTTGGTCATGACAATATGGAAATTCTAAGGAAATTTTGGGGAATTTCTGTTCGTTTCTGCGCACTTCCACCCCAAGTCTAGGGTAAACGTCTTTAGTTAGCGAGGAAACTCCTGAGCTCAGCTGAGGAAAGCGGATATATTTTCCAACACTGTGCGAATGAGTATATCAGTTCATTGATTCATCTCTCGATAGTTGTCGAAATTTTGCCGGAAAAATTGTTTTTTCCATAATTTTCGACGGGAATTACCATTGTTTCTTGAGAGAAAGCATTTGGAAATGCACATGACATGATCACTTCTAAGTCGTGATGAATTTCAGTCCGTGATTTTCCGATGAGAGCTCCTATCTGTATCGTTTTAGTTGGAATCAGCTTATCCCAATACCATTTCGGGCATTAGAGAGTGGTTCAGATGGTATAAGTATCCAACACAGTAAGCCCAGCAGTCGTGTTCTGAGGACCTTCATCTTGACTTGTTCAGTGGCGTCATCAACTCCTTCATGCACGGTGGTCAGCCTTTGCTTGCGTTGCTAATCCGAATAATTTCATAGTCACATCAAACGGATCCAATACAATATTGATATAAGTAGTCAATATGCAATGTGACGAGCAGAACGAAGGCTATCACGATGGGGAGATATACAAAATGCAAGGA